CAATATATAATGCAGTGCAGTGTTGATTTAAAGAAAATAATCTTGAAATACACCAAGAGAACTAAAATTTTATGGGTGAAATGGTGCCATGGGGTGACTTCTCTTCCACCCCAATGCCTTCTCTTCTTCCTTCTCCTCCACCCCCATTCTAATTCCCATCATCATCATCATCATCCAGGAGCCTTCTACATACACACCTCAAAGTAAGTGAACTTTTCTACCATTTTTGTTGAATTTAGGCAATTTTCGGTGAGCTGGAACCAATTACAGTGACCCCTCGTTTAACGAACGCCTCGGTTAACGAAATTTCGGTTAACGAACTGCCTTCCATAAGGATCTTCAATTCGGTTAACGAACAAAAATTCGGTTAACGAATTTCTTACGAACCAACCTCAACATGTTTTCGCTTGCACTGACCGGGCAACCAGCTTTAGTATCAGTCCGCCAATACATTAATCGGTTCTAGGGCTTAAATTCCTTACTATTTTAGTAAATATCAAGAAGTTTATACTATTCAATAATTTTAAAAGTTTAATATTAACTTTTTTAGTCATTTTAACAATTATTGAACATAATTGAAGGTAAAGAAACTAGTTTCTGGCGTGCCATCCAGCCTGTTAACACACCAGACAGACGATTTTTCTGTGTTTCCAAGCAAATTATTGGTAATTTTGAAATATATTTTACATATTGACAATATATAATGCAGTGCAGTGTTGATTTAAAGAAAATAATCTTGAAATACACCAAGAGAACTAAAATTTTATGGATGAAATGGTGCCATGGGGTGACTTCTTCCACCCCAATGCCTTTTCTTCTTCCTTCTCCTCCACCCCCATTCTAATTCCCATCATCATTATCCAGGAGCCTTCTACATACACACCTCAAAGTAAGTGAACTTTTCTACCATTTTTGTTGAATTTAGGAAATTTTCGGTGAGCTGGAACCAATTACCCAAAACCCCATTGAAACAATGGTTTCGGTTAATGAACTTTTCGGTTAACGAACGACCTTCTGGAACGGATTGAGTTCGTTAAACGAGGGGTCACTGTACCCAAAAACCCATTGAAACAATGGTTTCGGTTAATGAATTTTTCGGTTGACGAACAACCCGCTGGAACGGATTGTGTTCGTTAACCGAGGGACCAGTGTATCAAATTCGTTCGAAACTCATCAAAAACCATAGGAAAAACACATTTTTAATATCCAAAGAAAGAACGGCGCTTTTCTATAAATTTACCGTTTTTCCATGCCCCTTTTGGGGAGGGGGCTAACTCTAAAACGGGTACTAGGCATATAAACTGCAATTTTAACAGTAAAAAATACTTAATATTAAAGGAAAATATGGGTAAAACTGCAGATTACAGCAACCAAAGACTCTGATAAAAAAAAAAAAATTCTGACGGTTTTTGATGTGATTGGTTTAAATCTGACATCCGTTTTTATCAGAAACCACTCGTTATGAACTTAGCCCCCCCCCCATAATAGTTCTATTAATTGCATGTTCTGAATTCCAGGTACTCTGTGCTTGCTAACTTATACTTTTAACCAAACTAAACTTTACCTAACCCCCTAGGCAGAAATAGCCGTTACAGTATTTCTTACCCTAATCCGAGTCAGGGTCAGAGTCTGCGTCAGGGACCAGAATGCGTAGTAGGTTCTTCTGTTCTCAAGAATTTCCTATATTTAGAATAAAATAATACAATAAACTTCCAATAGTTGAAAACCCACTCAGCACATAATGACTCCATGTTGCAACTGATTAAAAATGTCCCGCGTCCTACCACCCAAGCCGAATATTGAACGCTAATTGGTTGAATCAAATGTTGAGATTTTTCATTGGATTTGATTAGCTGCCAACCCCCTAGATTTGATTGGATGCGGCCACCGCCGATTTGATTGGCGGCCGCCCCCCGGCACATGTGCAGGAGGTAAGCAAACGTATGAACACACACAGCGTAGGGACAAAAGGTGCTCTGATTTTATTCTTTTTAAAATTCAATACCTTCCTTATTATCAATTTGTGACGAAAGTGTAACATAAGAAAATGATCACGAGAAAATATAGTTCTATCAATTGAGTGAAGTGAATTTCCGGAATTATGTGGGTGCTGTAAACTGCTATATTACCAAAAGTTATTGTCTAATTTTTATTACTATCATGCAAACAACATTTGTAGAAAAACGAACAAAATCGAAAACTGCTTCTGGTGTTAGCCGTCTCCTCCACTATTACCCTATTAAGATCACACGGTAAAGGTGTAGTTCAGGGCTAACACCTGGAGTACGGCTCCTCCCCGACTTACGACCACCCGCACTTACGACCTGCCTCAAGTCGTACCAAAATTTTGTCAAATTACGTATTTTTGAGTCCAGTCAGTACATAGACAAAATTTTCATTTGTAATTCACTTTAAAATGGCTGGCAAGCTTAAAAGTGAGAGTTTTGTGGTGCTGAGAAGAAAAAGAGACACCCATTTTAGATTTTCTAAAGCATTTTCGACATATACCCAATGACCATTAAATCAATGTGATCAAGTTAAAGTATAATTTAATATTCCATTCGACAATAAAACGTAAAACTCTTATCTACACAGCACAAGCATCAACTACTGTACAACGATACTGATATCTATTAAAATACAGCACCATATTTATTATTAATTCATTAATGAAAGTGCGTTAGTCTAAGTGGTTGCCATGGTACAGTAGACTGCCTTAATACAGTTCAGTAGTTGACTCCGTGTACAAAAGTTTCTCAAGAGCAAGGTTGGTGGAGCCCGTCAAAACATTTCCCAAACCCGCTACCTCACCTCACCTTTCTCCGCCATTTAATCACTATATACTACAATAACTACACCTTGTCACAGTTATCACATTTATATAATATTTATGGTGTTAACTAGTTAGAAACTAGTGGTACTTACCTTCTAATAAGCGAGAAATTAAATTATCAAAATCAAGCTCCGTTTCAGCCATCTTGCAAAATTTTGCCACTAGTTCGTTAAATTTGGAGAGACTTAAGTTGTTGTTATCCTTACACTTATTAAATTCAGTAAATTATAAGTATATTAAAAGAAACGACAACTTTCTAGCATAATTTTAAATATTTTATTTTTTATTTTTTTTATTTACTCTATCCTGCTTCACATTTCTCCTCCCGGCGCCATTTTCGTTGATTAATTCACTGAATCCATCTTCAAGAGACTTTTCCTAAATGATGGTGAACACTTGCACGTATTCCTCCTCGCCATTGCTGATATATATCAACCTCAATATTGAGGTAAGTTGTTTAACACATAAACTAACACGATAATGCATAGAACCTAATAAATCCTGACCTAACCTACCAAACCTATGGGTATGTTAGGTCAGGTTCTATCAGGTTCTATGGGATCCGACTAATTACCCAAATGTACCCAAATGTAGCCGCAGTGAAGTCAAATAATGGTCCTACATGAATAAATCGGACTGCCAATCACTTCTCGACTAGTATTTGGTGTCACGAAGTCACAAAAAATTGGTAAACTTAATTTAATCTGAGTTAATAGATCGAGTGCATGTACCTAACCTAACCTAACCTAACACAACTCAGATTAAATTAAGTTTACCAATTTTTGTGACATTATGACACCAAATAATAATCGAGAAGTGATTCACAACCCGATTTCGCTTGTAGGACCATTATTTGACTTCATAGCGGCTACATTTAGGTACATTTGGGTAATTAGTCGGACCGGGTTCTATGTATTGACGTTTTCATTTCTGTGTTTGTTAGCATGCTCGTTTTCATTTCTGTGTTTATTAACATGCTATTAGTGTGTAAAAAATTTTCAATGATTTCTACAAACTCCTTCTGGTGTTAGCCCTAAACTACACCTTTGCCGGATCACACTAAGGGCAGTACGACTAATTACCCAAATGTACCCAAATGTAGCCGCAATGAAGTCAAATAATGGTCCTACATGAATAAATCGGACTGCCAATCACTTCTCGACTAGTATTTGGTGTCACGAAGTCACAAAAAATTGGTAAACTTAATTTAATCTGAGTTAATAGATCGCGTGCGTGTACCGAGGGAGCGAGTAATTACCCAAATGTACCCAAATATAGCCAACTGTAGCCGCAATGAAGTCAAATTATGGTCGTACAGGAGTAAATCAGGCTGTGAATCACTTCTCGATTATTATTTGGTGTCATAGTCACAAAAAATTGGTAAGCTTAATTTAATCTGAGTTGTGTTAGGTTAGGTTAGGTTAGGTACATGCACTCGATCTATTAACTGAGATTAAATTAAGTTTACCAATTTTTTGTGACTTCGTGACACCAAATACCAGTCGAGAAGTGATTGGCAGTCAGATTTATTCATGTAGGACCATCATTTGACTTCATTGCGGTTACATTTGGGTACATTTGGGTGATTAGTCGGACCCTACTAAGGGTTTGGAACCTTTCATTCACACTGACCAGTTTATCTTCACATCCCATTTTGTTAACTTAAGTGACAGGAAGCAGATTTCATCATATCCTGTTGATATCTACAAATCCCTTAGTATTTAAAACGTCTATTATTATATATACCCAATGATCATTAAGTCAATGTGATCAAGTTAAAGTATAATATAATATTCCATTCGATAATATAAAGTAAAACTCTTATCTACACAGCACAAGCATCAACTACTGTACAACGATACTGATATCTATTAAAATACAGCACCATATTTATTATTAATTCATTAATGAAAGTGCGTTAGTCTAAGTGGTTGCCATGGTACAGTAGACTGCCTTAATACAGTTCAGTAGTTGACTCCGTGTACAAAAGTTTCTCAAGAGCAAGGTTGGTGGAGCCCGTGTCAAAACATCTCCCAAACCCGCTACCTCACCTCACCTTTCTCCGCCATTTAATCACTATATACTACAATAACTCTACACCTTGTCACAGTTATCACATTTATATAATATTTATGGTGTTAACTAGTTAGAAACTAGTGGTACTTACCTTCTAATAAGCGAGAAATTAAATTATCAACGTCAAGCTCCGTTTCGGCCATCTTGCAAAATTTTGCCACTAGTTCGTTTAGTTTGGAGAGACTTAAGTTGTTGTTGTTCTTACACTTATTAAATTCAGTAAATTATAAGTAATAAACAAGATGTAAAGTTACTTTACTAAAAATAACTTAAATCCCAAAAATATAAGTAATAACTACTAAATTAAGTTGTTTTTATACAGATATATAGACATTGTCGAACAGAATAGAAGATTCAGATAAAATATAGACGATGGGGGATATTTTTAGCGAAAAAAAAAGACGATTAATATTATTTTGTTAAACATATAATTATTAATGAACTCTATCAGTAAAAGGGTTACTGTATGGTAACACTGTTTGGGGTAGTCTATACACAACAGCTGATAATGTAAACAACACTCTTGAAGAAGGTTGTTTATCATCTCAGGTGTTGACAAGGTTTGTGTTGACAGTAAGTTTAATGTTCACATTTTAATGTTATGTTGAGAGGAGGAAAGTAAGTAATTATTGTTATATTTTTAGTGTTTGTATATTTTGTTAATAGACTTGGTTATAGAAGGTATGTTATATAATCCTATATTACACACTAACCTAAATTATCCAATCCGGTAATGGTGGAGGAAACGGTGGTTAACCCCAGTTGGAGTGAATGTAGGAAGAAAATGACACGGGAAAGATTGACACGGGAAAAGATGGCACAGAAAAGATGGCACAGGAAAACATGGCACAACTGTCAGACTGGGATAAAATGGCTGAGCCAACCCCACGGACAAAATCTCCCTTGATCTTGCAAAATATTACATTTATTGTATCATGATTTGGTAATTTCTGAGAACACCACTACCACCAGAAGTTGTTCGATTTCATTCCCCATTTTGCCTCATGTTCTTAGCACTATGGTAAGTATTTTAAAAGAGGCGACTACTTTATATTTTAATTATAAGTATTTGTTTCTCAGTAAATATTCGTACATTTGCTGTCTTCAGGGGGAGCCACGAATTACCCAAAAGTACCCAAAAGTATAGCAAATAAGGGTAAAATCTTAACGAATATCTGTTATACATACACAAAACATGTTCAATAATATTTTTAGTGTAATTTTGTAAAAATAATTTGTAAGATGAAATAATAAACAGCGAAAAACTTTCAGTATTGGCGAACGCTAAATTCCAAAGAGTTCGTGAACAAGGGAGATAACTCGGATCCATCGTGATGCACTTTGCTAATCTAACGAAAAGTAAATCCTACGGCTGTGTTAAATACCCAAAAGTAACAGAAACACCGGTAATTATATCTCCATTTTGGATAGGTGAGTCTTTGGAATTTAGCGTTTTTCGCTGTTTATTATTTCATTATTTTGACTACATTTCAATGAAAACATTATTAATCAGGTTTTATTGATGTAAAACATATATTCGTTAAGATTTTACCGTGATTTAATATACTTTTGGGTACTTTTGGGTAATTCGTTGGACCGGTCTTCTGGTTTTGATACAAAAATAGTTTTTTTTTGTGTATTTTGGTGTGTTGTACTCAAATCTGACCTTCATTTCTAATACAAATTAGTGGGGGGGTTTTAAATAAACATTCTAAATTGTAACAGAAACAGCTAATTTGCACGAAAAGGGCTGTCAGGTTTGAGTAAAACACACCAAAAAAATCAAATCAAACCTAACCTAACCCAACCATTTTTTTAGCTTACCTGCTACTGTGGTGGAGGATACAGCTGGGTGATCTGGTACGCTTTTTGTTACAGACAAAATAATTTTTGTCTTTTCTTAGAACTTAACAATTTCCACACTGAGGGCACAGTCTTGATGTTGGTAGTACACCATGATCTTGTTCTGATAAACTCGCTGAATAACAGTAAGATAAGGGAGAGAGCACTTTTTTTTTTATATACGGTTATGAGCCCACCCGGGCACAGGTCACTGACCCACATCGGGGCCTGGGGGGTGAAAATGTAATAATAATAATAATAATAATAATAATAATAATTCATAGTAAATAAAATTTTAATAAAAAATACAAAATTGAAAATAAAACAATAAATTAATAATGATAATAATAATAATAATAATAATAATAATAATAATAATAATAATAATAATAATAATAATAAAGAAATAAAAAAAATAAAAAAATAAAAAAAAGATCAAAAGTGAGAAACAATATACTGTATATATGTTGTGTTGTCAAAATAAGAGAAACAATTGAGACCCTGCAACTGTGTGTAAATGAGGCAGAAAATCAGATCAGCAACCTGGGACTTGGACACAATTTTCGTGATGTTATATTGAATTGTAACAATTGAATTGTAACAGTTTATTTAGCCAGAAAAATACAGATACAGAGTGGATAATGATAACAATATTAACATGGCTGAGCCAGTTGAGAGCCTGAGCTCTCTTTGAGGCACCTGATATATACTATACATTTATCTCAAGGAAGTATTATGTAACATTTAGTATCATCTGGAATAGTACAGTAGCAGGGTCTACCATTAGACAATACATTATGCTTCCACTATCTTCCCAGGCGGTAGAACTTCCCTGTTTCATAGCTGCCTACTACCTTAACACACGCCATTACGATCCTTCAAAATGGCTGCTTCAAAATGATTGGCTAGCCAAGACACATGACCCGATACTTGAAGATCATTGGTTGTCATGTCGCAAAGAGGAGATGAGAAAAGTGACTCTGGCAACATGGCGGGTACAGAAATTTATGTCTAGAGATTTGTGAGATACTCCGTTAATATTGATTTGCACAAGAAATGATATGAAGTCGTATGTTTTTTTTTTATAGTCTTTGTGTCTGTAATATTGAAAATTGGAAACTTGCGGACAGCCAATGGATAAATATTAACCTTTTTTCTCTATTTACAATCATAAATCACCTGTAGTGGGCAGGGCATGAAGGATAAGGGAAATTGTGGGGGTAAAACACTGTGAAAACTAATCATATGACATTAAAATGATGTCTCCACATGCTTTGTATGGGAAGAAATTAATTATTTGGTTGATATTGACTACTGACCCATGGACGAGTAATTTGTTTTGCTTTTTATTGTCTTACTCTATTTTCATCAGTGAGTTCTGATATGATAATGATTTCTTGTGCAAATATTTGTTTGGTAGAAAATTAGGTGCCTAAGCGTGCACTGGTTTGTCTTCTCAGCGGTAATGTGGCGGTGACGTCTCATCCCAGGATGTAAACAGCCAATCATATTGACATACGTACAGGTATTTCAAAACACTCCGCTGCCCTAGCTGCATCAATGCCGATGCTCAGTGTATGCTTATGAACCATTTGGTATGGGCGGCTGCTCTCACAACCACAAAAACCGTAATATTGCACCGTATCAGCGTAAGTTCTCTCTGTTTAATATACTGGGGGTCGGGGTTAGATGTTAAGTAAGGTTTGATTAGGTTGGTCAGGTCTTCTAACAATGCTGCTGCTGCTTGTTTTTCATATCAACTAAGGTTAAGTTAGATTTAATTTAGAAATAACACATTTTAACACATTTGCGCAAACCACGACAGTGTCCACTATAAAACACAGTGAAAGTGCGGCGTTTTTAAAATTATTTTCAATGAAAAATCGGCTGCGGGTCGGTCGCCATTAATTACCAATTATTTACCGTAAATACACCTCCAAAAAATCTGCTGACTCACTGTATGTCGTCTGTTTGTTAACAACCAACCCGCTCAGTTCGAGCGTACTCTCATGTCCACAGAAAAAATTTAAATTACACCATAACACTTCAACAAAGTTGCTTTCATTGGTATCAGATATCAAAATAAGTACTTTCTGTTTAATATTGAGGAGAGTCCGGTGGGCGGAGCCCCCTAGCTAGGAAATTAGGCTGGTTAGATCAGGATCTATTAGGTTCTAGTAAATGTCGCCTCTTTTAAAATACTTACCGTAATGATAAGAACATCTGCGGATAAAGATAATGAAATCAAACAACTCCCACCGATGATTTTAATAAAGAAATCTTTTTTAGTATTATACAGGAGTACATTACCACTAATATTATAAATATTTAATTATTATACAAGAGTACCTATTAACACAACCATAAAAATTAACATTATAAAAGGATCGTCCTTCATTCCTCACACAGACAAACTGTGGAATGCTCTGCCTTCTTCTGTGTTTCCATACTCATATAATCAGTCTCACTTCAAAAAGTTGGTTTTCCGGCATATTTGTGGTGTAGATTAATATAATACCTGTATTTTAAATTTCTTTTTACTCTTGTTTTTCCAGCCCCTGGGCCCTGTTGTGGGTCGATGACCTGTGCCTGGGTGGGCTATTCCCCGTAAAAAAAGAAGAAAAAAGCCAAAGTCAGCAAACACATACTGGAGAGTAAAGCACAATATTTTAGAGTCCACATTATGTGATCAGGTTCATTTAGCATTCATGTTACTTCTGCCTGATGCTGTGTACTCTGGGGAGGTGTTGTGTTTAATCTTTTATAGTTCTTCCTTCACCCTTGTGATAACCCCATATTTCCAAACGGCACCGTCGCAGTAGTCGTATCAGTATTTATGAATGAATGGGTATTGGTCATGTAACGATGGATGAGATTGGTGGATAGGTTTGCTATAGATCATATAGGTTGGCCATTTGGAGTCACAGGTTACCACGGGTGTGTAGGAACACATTTTCGCAATTGTATTTGTGGTTCTTCAAGTCAAGCTATCCCTTCCAACAATCTGTTATGATATGGGTACCTGGAAGTGCCCATTCATTGACAATGTTCAGCAAAGTCTCTTTATCCTTAGTTTCAACAGGAACGAGAAACACTGCTTTTGTACCACGTTTAATCCCTTCAACAATCCACTGTCTGTAACAATCCTATTACGTTCATATTTTCTCCTATCAAACTGAGCCTCGTGAAACTCCACAACACAACCACATCCACTCAGCTTCACATTTTTGGAAGTGCAAAAAAACAGCTACTTCCCAACAGAAAGAGAACCAATGAATGACCATCTTTCTGTCGAGTTCCACCTCATGGCACATGTGGTCAATTGCTTACACTGAAAGAAGTAATGCTGGTTGAATGTCACTGTCTTGCCGCATCTTGGACTCTTGCACATCCTTCCAATAAGTCCATGTGGACAAAATAAAATGGGATTTAGGTAAACCCAAAACAAGGGCAGGGATAGAATATGAAATTGAAACCGAAAATAGGTTTTCAGTATTGCTAGAGGGTGATTTTCATGAACAAGGACCAGAACAACAATTTGATAATTACAAGGAAGTAATGTTAGAGATTGGGGAAAAACTGATAGGACATGGCGGAACGAGGCTGAAAGCAAGTGGATAACAAATGGAATTTTTTTAGAAAATTGATTGACAAAGAAATATGAGAAAACAAAGTGAGGCTTAGAAAAAAATTAACAAAGAAATTCACAGGGGACGCAGACAGGCCAAGAAAGATAATCTAGAAATTAATTGCAAGAAGATTGAAGATGAGGACAGAAGACATAATTATAGGGAAATGCACAGAAGATAAAACAAATAAACTAGAACAAAGGAAATAAAGGTGGTGGAACTATTAAAAGCAAAGATAATGATAGAGTAGAAGTAAGAAACAAACACAAAATGAAGACCGAAATGCCAATTCTGGAAACAGAGGTTTAGGGAACTTTGAGCAAATAAAAAAATGCTAAAGCTTGTGGGGTTGATCAGCTTCCAGTAGAATTTATAAAACCAAAGAACAAAATTGGGATAAAATGTTTGACTAAAATATGTAATTCTATATACCTGTACTTCACAGGAGACCTTCCCAGTCATTTAAAAAATCATTACGTTTATGTAGCATTACTTAAAGAGCCAGGAGCCTTAGAGTTCACCCAGTTGAGAAAAATATGCTTAAAATTCATGCCTGCAAAGTTCTATTCAACATAATTTTATGGAGAATAAAATTTAGAATAGGAAGAGAAATATCTGAAGAGCCAAATGGATTTAGAAAAGGAAAGGGAACTAGAGAAGCTATATTTGGTTTGAGAATTTTGAGTGAAAGGGCTTTAGAGGTCCAAAGAAATTTGTACATTTTGAAAAGCTTTTGATATGGTAAAGCAAAATAAATTTATAGAGATCTTGAAAAAAGGTATGCATGAAGGCGCTATCGGAATTTTAAATAATCTTTATTGGCAACAGAAAGCTGCAGACAGAGACGGGGATGGACGAATGAAATTAAAAACTGGGTCCCCAGAGAGATACAAAACCTAAGAGGATTGTTAAATGCAGCCCAAGAATGTTTGGAGTGGAGGACTGTGGTCGCCAACCCTCAGGTATGGTGGCAAGTGGCTATTGGATGCCAGTCATGCCACCATATTTATGGAAAATTATTTATATATTTATTTAATTTATTTTATTTTTGCCTATTACCATATGATCAGTGTTCAGGTGTTCTTTATGATTGAAGAGTTGAGAAAAATGGAGGAAAAAATAAAAATTAAAGGTCAAAGTTATCTTATTTTTATGACTTAATATCAACTAAACCAGTGCTACTCAAAGTGGTGGTACGCGGACCGGTGCCGGTACGCGAGCCATCGGCTGCCGGTCTGCAGAGATGTGTTGGCTAACGACTCAATGAAGCCGTCAAACCTCAAGAGGCATTTAAATACAAAACATAAAGAAATGAGTTCAAAGTCGAAAGAATTCTTTGAAAGAAAGCATGTTGATTTAAAAGGCTGACAGAAACAGATCTTTGAAGTGTCACACATAAATACTTGTGCTTTGCGGGCTTCTTATAAAGTAGCATTTCGAGTTGCTAAGGCTAAAAAGCCATACACAATCGGTGAGACGCTAGTGATAGGCTGTATTAAAGATGTCTGCATGGAAATGCTGGGCGAGCCAGCGGCAAGGAAAGTGGCTCAGGTGCCACTTTCACATAACACTATAGCTCGACGAATTCACGATCTGGCTCACGATATGGAAGATCAGCTCATAGGACAGATTAAATTAGCAAAGTACTTTTCTTTGCAACTTGATGAATGTACAGACATTGATAAAATGGCAATTCTGCTGGTGTATGTGCGCTTTGAACATGAGGGTGATTTGAAGGAAGAGTTTTTTTCTCTGCTTCACTACGTACCAACAAAAACAACTAGTTCTGAAGTGTTCAAGACTGCGAGCGACTACATCGTTAACAAATGTGGGTTGGATTTCAAGTTTTGTGTAGGCATATGTTCTGATGGCGCTGCCGCAATGCTAGGACGGCATTCGGGAGTGATTACCCAGATCAAGGTGCTTGCCCCAGAATGCAAGTCGATGCACTACTTCCTTCACCGAGAAAGTCTTGCAACAAAAAAAATTTCAATAGAACTAAACAGTGTGCTCAGTGAGGTTGTAAAAACTGTGAACCATGTAAAGCAAATTCTTTAAATTCGAGACTATTCACTGCATTATGTGATGATATGAGAGCTGATCATAAACTGCTCCTATTGCATGCCGATGTACGTTGATTATCGAGGGGAAAAGTCCTGTCAAGAGTATTTGAGCTACGAAACGAGCTTGCTGAGTTTCTTCAGGACAAAAAACCAAATTGGTCACAATTGTTCTGAGATGTGGATTGGCTAGCCAAGTTGGCTTATTTGGCTGATATATTTGCCATCTTTAATGATCTCAACACCTCCATGCAGGGAAGAATAGCTTCGTGTTTTACAATGGCAGACAAGATCGATGGACAAAAACAAAAGCTAGAAGCATGGAAGTGTCGAGTGTCAAGAGATTGTTATGACATGTTTCACCAATTAGCGGCAGTCATCGCCGATGCAGGCGAAGACCTTAATGTTACATCTCTACAAATTGTCATCAGAGAACACTTGACGAATTTGGCAGAACGTTTTCAGCGTTACTTTCCAGCAGAAGAAGATCCACGGAAAGGGAATGGATGGATCCGAAATCCGTTTATGTCATTGAGAGATGACTCAAGTGTCACTATGGAGGATAAATTGTTGGAGCAGGATGTTGACGAAGGATTGAAGATGAGTTTCTAAACGACAACATCACTTGGTTCCTTTTAGATAAAAGTGAAAGCAGAATATCCTGAACTTACTAAAATTGCTCTGAAAACTCTTTTCCCATTTCCTTCAAAATACCTCTGCGAGACTGGCTTCTCAACCATGAGTGTCATTAAGACAAAGTACAGGAATAGTATGGATATTCATTCTCCATTGCTCGTGGCTCTGTCCTCAATTGAACCACGATTGGATAAGCTGACAAAGAAGAAGCAGGCTCACCTTTCACATTAGTAAAGGTTAAGGTTTTAACATGCCTTTTATTGTGTCAATAAAATAATGATCAATTTCATATTTTAGTTGCCTATTCCTTTCAATCTTTGTTTTAATGTCTTTATACATTGGGGTTTAAAATAACTTAAATATAAAAAAAATTTAACATACATTATTCATTATAATTTTTCATTTTATTACTTATATATACATATGTTTATAATATTTTTGTTAGAAGGCTTTGCAAGTTTGATTTTTTTTTTATTTATATTGTAATATTGTAATACTTATTTACAAAATAAATAAAAAATTAAAAAAATGTGTTAACTTTTATTATATTCATTATATTTTTCCGGCATAAATTAATATTACTACGAATGTTCAAATAATATTTTCTCGGATCGTAAACAAATAATAATATGGCACAAATATGGTACAGGGTCCCTGGCACATTGGAAAAAACCTGCCGGTCCGCCACATCAGATAGTTTGAGAAGCACTGATCTAAACATGTGGAAAAAATGACCCAATTCTATAAATTCCTTCCAGTGTTAACCATCTCCTCCACTAACCTAACCTAAACTATTGTAATCTAATCTAATCTAACCTAACTATCCTAATGCTAACCTAACCTATCCTAACCAAGCTAAATCTAAGTTATCCTAAATGGAAGCTTTCAACTGTATATAATGATGCTTCATCATATAGTATGTAAAGGATCACTTGAAGAATCTCTACCTCAGCTTATCCTGGGAAACGAGGTTAAGTTCGGTTTGGTTAGGTTAGCATTAAGTTAGGTTAGGTTTAAGGTGATTAATCTCAAGGTGAAATAAGCTGGGGAGAGATTCTTTAGGTGATACTAGAGTAATATTGTAAAGGTAATTTGGTGTTTTGATTCTAGGTTATAATGCTGATGTTACCTGGGAGAACTTTCCTTACCAGAGTGTCAGTTATCAGGTGTTGGAATTATTGGATACAAATACAAGGATTACACTCCAGAGAAAGAGATTACTCTGTAAGTTTTTGTTCTGTCACTTTATTCTTTTTCTCTTTATCTCATTTTTATCATCTAAAGTCACTGTTATGTGTTAAATGTACAGTACTGTACAGTTGGGTCTTCATTTACGCGGTCAATTGAACCCGCGTTGTACCGCGTAAAACAAGAAACGCATAAATGAAATAACAGAACATATGGGATCAATTGAAATAGAGACTGGGCCCACCCCCAAACTCCACTTTTTCCGACACAATACCTACGTTGTAGTAAAAATAACATCTTAACTTTATGATGGTATGCACACACACATAATATAGAAGAGAAATATCAATAAGAGAATAATATACTGTACCAGGTAAAAGAAAAATCAAGGTTTAACACTTACATTAGGTTAGAAAAAATCAAGGGTTAACACTTATGTTAGGTTAGGTTAGAAGAAATCAAGGTTAGGTAAGGTTTAACACTTACGTTAGTAGAAGAGATGGGTCGGCGCACGGGAATGGCGGCTGGTTCCGAGGCAGAGGGCAGATTACTGGCCCTCAGGTGAATCACCATCAGTATCCACCATAGTTGTCAGGGCCTCCCTGACAAATCCCTCAAAGTCACCATCACTGTCACTATCACTGGCTTGGGCTGGCTGTGGTGGGTTGCGGGTGAAGAAGTCCGTGATTACGCTGACGGCTAGTGTTGATGTTGTCGTGATACACCTTGATGTACGGCTCCATAGTGTGCAACAGCTGGTTATTGAAGACTTCATAGCGGTTATCGTCAGGGATGTTGGAAAGGATGAGCTTCAGTTTCTCTACACACTCGATGGCATCCTTAACATTACCATTCGTTAACTTGTGTTCTTCTTGGGATGACGCACCGCCTGTCTTTTCACTGACGTGATCGTCTTCTAACATCTCGTCGGCAGTCACCTCAGGATCCCTTATCACCTCCATAATGTCGTCGTTGGTGGTCTCGAAGAAGCCTGCACCTGTAACACTCTGCGCAGCTTTTCTAGCAAGGTCCACTGCCACCGCAACAGACTGAACCTCACCAGTCACAGGTTGACTCTGCCTCCCACCTGGGATACCTTGCAACACATGCCGCCATGAGTGACGAATCGTTGCTACAGACAGCTGATCCCATGCCTCCACCAAGAAGTCAACAGCTTTCTTGACGTTAAATTTCTTCCAAAACTGTTTGACGCGAACTTCTTGATCCGCCAACTCTTGTTCCTCGTCCTCATCACTCTGGCTATCGGTGTCCCCCAGGTTACGCAACTCATCCTTGGTGTTGGTACAGTCGTTTAGTAGCTTAAACTTCTTTGTAGAGAATGCAGCCTTCACATTACAAATTAATTCTTGATCCATGGGCTGGATTAACAACGTAGTGTTGGGAGGAAGGAAGACCACTTTTACGTTGGGGTGACAATTCAACAGTAGGGGCGAGTGTCCTGGTGCGTTGTCAAGGAGCAACAAAATGTTGAATGGAACATTCTGTTGCTCACAGAATTTCTTGACGTCGGGAACGAAACAGTCGTCAAACCAGGAGAGGAACAGAGCAGAGAACATCCACGCCTTACGTGCGATTAGCCAGTGGACATTTAGCTTGGTCAATGTCCATGTTCTTGTAGGCGTGCGGCTTGCGGGCTGTGTGGATCACCGATAACTTGAGTTTACAGGTACAGGAGGCATTGGTGGTAAACAGGACGGTGATGCGCTCCTTCTGCAACTTCCGGCCCCGACACTTGCTGGCAGACTTGACAACGAAGGTCTTGGAAGGTAGCTTTTTCCAAAACAGACCGGATTCATCCATGTTGAACACCTGGTCGTCGGTGTACTGTCCTTCCTCCATAACGTCACGTAAGAAAGGAGGAAAATCACTAGCCGCAACACGGTCAGCACTCGCTCCTTCACCACCAATGTTAATGTTGGTGATCTTGTTCCTCTTCTTAAACCCTTGCAGCCACCCAGAGGAAGCATTGAAGGGTTTGGGCTCTGCAATTCCCATCTTACGTGCCACTGCTACGTACAGTTTATGTGCATACTCTTGAACCGACCGCGTGTCCACTGCCATGTTGCGTCGTGCCTGACGAATCAAGTAGCTCACAAGTAAATTCTCCGTCTTGAGAAGCATCTGGTTCTGGCAGTACTTCAATATTGAAGCACCTGCAGACTTTGTGATGTTCATGTGTTCTTTTATCTTGGCTTTTTCTAACTCTTGTATTATACTGTACTTCACCTCGTAACTTAGGGCACGTCGTATCTTCTTTGGCTTAGGGCGGCTGGGTCCAGGCAATGCAAGGTTTTTTTGTGGTGGTGGAGGTCCATTGGAAGCCATTCTTAGGAGATTAGCGAGATTATCCGAACATTAGAACACAGTATACACTGGGTGACTGGGAAGAGAGTAACTGACGCGGTTAGGTCAACGGCTTCACCCCTCCCGCAGCAGGGCACTTCATATTACATTAAACCAATCACAGCTAGTGGGGAGGGAGGTAAGGATGCGTGGCCCAATCACAGTCCGATACATCATATGACGTCACCAATAACGCAACAAAGACATACACTGCGCAACCTTCTCAAGCCGCTTACCCAATATAGCGGAATGGCGGGAGATGGCGGGAGGTTTTAATCCAAAAATGGCGCGACGCGAGAAGACCGCCAGCCGCTCTCCGCGTAAATGACCACCGAAGGGTCAAGACGTACCTGGCGCTCCTCTCGGAGCAGCCAGGTCAACTGCTATGTTGGCCCATACCAACTCCCTCCCCTGAACCCTCCTCCCCACCGGAATATCAACAAGTTCACGCCAGAAGTCACTATTTCATTTAGGAAAGAAATGGAACCAGTGTTAAACAGAGGTGAACAGTGGTGAACAGTGCTTAAGTCAGTGAGAACAACTCAACAGTAACAGTGGTACCCAAGTTGACCTTTCACACAGTGAGGTCCCAGGTACCCAGTGATAACGGCCCGTGAGACCCAACTACCAGCGATGTGTTAATCCGTCTACGATAGGAAGGCCTGGAACCACACCTCACTCATATAACACCATCTGTGAGAGAATTACTACACCACGTGAGGCCCCTCATAACACCATATGTGAAGGAGTTACTACACCACGTGAGGCCCCTCATAACACCATCTGTGAGGGAATTACTACACCACGTGAGGCCCCTCATAACACCATCTGTGAGGGAATTACTACACCACGTGAGGCCCCTCATAACACCATCTGTGAGGGAATTACTACACCACGTGAGGCCCCTCATAACACCATCTGTGAGGGAACTACTACACCACGTGAGGTCCCTCCTAACACCATCTGGGAGGGAGTTACTACACTACGTTTTTGCTGTTCAACACCTACATTAATCTGTATGTTCACTGTATGTTCCTTTACCTTTCTCTAATGAAGGCTTTTGTTAAACCACCAATGTATGTAATAAGTCATTTATGCCCAATGTATATTTTCAGCCTTCGGGCTGCAGAACTTTTTCAATAAACCGTTAATTATTATTATTATTATTATTATTATTATTTACTGTGTAAATGAAGCATCCCGTTTCTGGCAAATTACCACGTAAATGACAAAATGCATAAACGAAAACCGCGTAAATCCAGACCCAACTGTACATATAAATTGGGATAGCACAGTCTTTGTTTATTGTTTTTATTAATGTCACAATCCTTTTGTCATTTTCATTCCTTTCTGTCCAATATATATCATGTACAGCACAGTACTTGCAAGTATTTTGTATGTATGAAAATTTAGTACTGTACAGTCTTTGTATGTACTGTGGGTGACCATTAGGTAAATAAGCCAAGATAGATCATTTCTGGTATGTGTATATGTTCTGAGTACCAAGTTCTATCTACAGGAGCGAACACAAACACCTGTAGAGTTTTTGTAGGTTCTATTTACTGGACAAACAGAGATACACAAGCGTGGTGGCGCTCCCTGATCTGTCTGGGGGGTCAACTAGCCTTTCAGGCGACATGTGGCAAGTGATACATTAACAGCTCCCATATGTCGCCAGGCACATTAATTAAGCGTGTGGGACATGGTAAATACATTGCCACACGCTGCTAGCTAGGCTGAATAAATAATGTATATAAATGGAGCACATACATAATATACATACAGCATACATAATATACATACACCTCCCTCTCCCCCTATACGCTCATAGCAAAGTCTTGAGCGGACCTTTTCTTTTGGATCCGTTCTGAGCGTCGAGGGACTTGATCACTGGGGAGGGTATGGGACTCAACACTGGTGGCGGAGTCAGCAGAAGGCGTTGTTACGGGGCGGAGAAAACGGCGGTTCCTCCACCACACACAACCACTGGGTAACCGCACCTGGTAGTCCCGTGACCTACCGAGACCCATGACTACGCCCACTTTGTCCCAACGTAGGGAGGTCGGGTCCTGAACACGGACTTGGGTGCCAACACTCAACTTGGGAAGAGGACGGGAGTGGTCGTTGTAGCGGGTGACAACATCATGAACACGTTCGGCGGCTCGGCAATCACAATCCTCTGTCTTGGCCTGCCACTCCTTGGAGAAGGATTGTGGGTGAGCAGGGACACAAGAACGAAGGGGGCGTCCATACAAGACCTGGGCAGGGGAGCGTCCGGTGTAGTTGGGTGTGTTGTGGAGTTCAAGAAGACCCCGGTCGAAGGCCTCGCAGTCAATATTCCCAGAAGGGGCCACCTTAAGGATGAGGTGCTTCAGGGATTTGACAGCAGCCTCAGCATGGCCGTTGGACTGCGGGTAATGGGGCGATGACAACACATGCTGGACTCCCCATCGGTCAAGGAACACAGCAAACTCCCGGCTTGTGAACTGGGGCCCTCCGTCAGTTCGCAGGCGCACAGGAACGCCCACGTCACGGAAGTAGTGGCGGAACTTGCTGATGGTGGCGGCAGACGTCATGTCATTACCACACTTGATGACAGCCGGCCAACCAAAGAGACAGTCGACGATAACAAGGAAGGACTTTCCTGACACAGAGAAAAAGTCGGCCGACAC